GTGTCCCTGCCCATGGCAGGGGATTGGAGTAGATGATCTTTAAGGTCCCTTCCAACCCAACCCATTCTGTGATTCTGTGCAGAAAGACACCAGAACTACTGTAGTCCCTTTCCCTTCTGGAGGAACACAGTCCAACAGAGGGAACAGCACAGAAGTTATACTCAAACTGCATCACATTTGAAATCAGTTCCTAGAGGAACAGGGGTGCACGGTGAACAGGTATTGCTGACTTCTCTTAATTTTTGTGGTATTTTTGTGCCACAAAAGAGCAGGATTTGTTGTTGGGATAGTGAGATTAAAGGCAAGGCTACCCAATGGGGTTTACCTGATGCAATGTTTCATGGCTACAGGATGAGATCATTATCCTTACAAGCCATTCTCTCTCTCCTCAGAGAAGCAAATGGGCAGAATCTCCTCTAGATCACTTCAGTCCTGTCATGTGAGGACACCTTGTGTCCTGTAATTCTCTCCTCCTTGGTGTGTTCCCCAAAAACACCAGTTCCTCAGCTCCCATACAAACCTCTGCTGCTGCCTTGCAGCATTAATGGAGAGAGTTCCTGGGGTTTTGCTAAGTTAAAACTGCTGTTTTGCCAACTGATGCAAGGTTTCTGGAGAGTGGTTACATTTCTCCAAGGACTGGGGTTGAAAATTGCTTCAGCAGAAAGTAGCCTTACATATTCCTAAAGAAAAAGCTTCAGTGAAATAAAAAAGATGCGTGTGGTGCAGCAAATCAAAGCTCCAGCTGCAAAAACAGATCAATACACTGATTTGTGTTTGCTGACCGAAAGAAAAATCTAATTGCAGGTACTCCATATTCAATGGTTGTGGTGAAACTGGAGTAATTGGAATAATGAGAAATCCAATGTGCTTTTGTTTGGAGTTTATTCTTCTTTAGGATTCGTTAAACTGGATGGGCCTCTCAAGGTTTAGGCTGGTGATGTGTTGCAGTTCCTAGCTCTTCAGACCTCATAGATTTCTTCAAGTTGTAAATCATAACATTTGCCATCTTCTAATAAGACGTGAGAAGATCGAAGCAATGTTGTTCCTAGTGTTTAGAGGTTCGTTTCACTCACCAGAATCTCAGCTGGCTGAAGTTTGAATGCATCCGAATGACAGAACACCTCAAATTCCAGGTTTGTGCAGTTACTAACACCTGCAATAGGAAATAATGCTTTCCTGCGTGTCCTGAAGATGTAGTTCCAAGAAAAGTATTGTTGTGTCACTCCTCAAGTATTTTTCATTGGAGTGCATTTCTTGAGTCTCTTTGGATTTGGATAAAAAAGAGAGGACAGAGGTCTTGTCATGATTGTATTTCTGTGAGGGGTGGTATTCAGAAAGGTAAAAGATTCTAGGGGAAAAAATACCCAGGAGAAGCAGTGAGGATGGAGTTGTGTGGATGCATTTTCTCCATTTGCGTGGGATAAAAGCTCTTTCAGGGTATCTTAGGTCATTTCAATTGCTGGTAATAGAAATGAAGATGGTAGTAAAGAGTTCTTAAAAAGTTACTGCACAGAGAGCAGAATTGTCACCAGCATTTACTGTCACTTTGAGTTAAAGTCAGTAAATTGGATAGACATATCCTTAGCTTGGATGTTTCATTAGCGTTATCCGGAGAGTGGAAAATGAGTCCTCTGTGAAGGAAACAGAATGGGGTGAGCTCTGGCCACAGGGAGGAGAAGGGAAGAAAGGATTGGAAGTTGATGGGGTGCAGCCAGTGAATGAGTAGCTGAAAATGGGTTTTAAAAAAAAGCTACAGAAAATACCTTTTTAGAAGTTTTTGAAGGCAAACTTGGAAAAGTGGAGACAAAGCCGCTTGTTGCTGAGTTTCATTTGGATCTCTCCATCAATGGAAGAGAGAACCCAAAGGTCTGTAACTGGACATCCTGAGTGTGAAAGGACAGTGATGTGCTGCCAGTTGACATATGGTACCACCTGGGATTAACTGAGATTATGCCAATGAAGACTAAACCCTGCAAGTTGATTCCCTCTGCTGCTGTTTAACAAAGGAAGTACCTTATCCAGAAGTCTGGCAGGAAATCTGTAGGCTTGAAATGTGATTTATGTCCCTCTGTGGCAGGGGAGATTCAGCTTTTTGGTTCTGTTGTGAGCAGCATAAAGGCTGAGTTCTTCAGTGGTCCATCATCCTGCAAAACAGACCAGTGTGTTCAATTGCAATTGAACCTTTATTGTGGGTTTTTTTGCTGAATTTAAAAAGATCATTTGCTATTTTATTTATCCTTTGTATGAACAAACGCTTTCCTGAGTCTCTGATCAAAGACTGCCCTGTTCTAGGCTAACTAGCACCTGTTTTTGTCTTTCTATTCATTGTCAAGATGCATTTAATCAACTAAGAAAAGATTATATATATGGCAGGTCATGACTAATTATATTTCTCTATGATATTATATTTTTTGAAAGCAGTAGACAGGGCAAGAGGAAATGGCCTCAAGTTGTGCCAGGGGAGATTTAGATTGGATACTAGGAAGAAATTCTTCTCTGTAAGGGTGGTCAGGCACTGGAATAGGCTGCCCAGGGGAGTGGTGGGATCACTCTGGAAGTGTTCCAAGGGCATGTGGACATGGTTTAGTGGTGGGCACAATGGTACCTGGGTAATGGTTGGACTTGATGATCTTAGAGGTCTTAATGATTCTGTGACAGGAAAGCTTGGATGTTAAAAATTTATTTTTTATAACCTGATTTGGGTCTTGAAACGTGGAGGGGAGTGGATTCTGGATGTGGTTTCAAAGCACAGAAGTGGTGTCTGATCCATAGGAGAAGGCTGTGCTTCCTTCCTAAGCACTCTGGAGTATTTCCATTTCTATCCTGAATATGTTCAGGAACATTTATAGTTCTTTATTCATTAGTGGTATTTTCTCTATATCAAGTAGTTCATATCATTTTCTCTGTCTTCTCTTGCCTAGTAACTGCCAGTGATCATACGTCTCACTTGAGCTGAGTAAGCCAGACTGTTTTAGTCATTGTAGAATCAGACTGTGTGTGTGTACCCTGATCCCCCTCACAGCCAGTTCCTCAGCTGGAGCTGGAGTTCACCGTTCCTGGCCATGCCACTGTCTGGCTGTGGGCTGGGGCTGGAGCAGTGCTGTAGCTCTCAGAGCATCCTCCTTTCCATTATAAAATCCTCCCAGGGATTTGCTCTCTAGCTGGTGCCTTTGAGTCTTTTGAAAGAGAAAATTGGTAGCAATGAATTGTGAGCCTCAAAAAAATCGGGACGTACCTTTTTTAGACCTTTTGCTCAAGAAAAGAGCTTTATATATCAGGCTATACAGTCAGTGGACCCTGAATTTTAAACTAGCTGGGTGCATTTCTTCCTCACCCAATGAAGAGAAGAGTGAGAGACACAGAAGAGGAGCTTTTTGCTTTTTTAACCACACACAATGTTTCCACTCGGTTACACGTATGTGTTTGTGTGTGGCCACCATCATTGTATTGAAATCTTCCCTTCCTTGCAGGAATCTGCTCAGGCTTTCTCTTAGTGCTGCTTGGGATGGGGGGGTCTCCATGGACTTGAGAAATTCAGTATTGGTGGTTTCAGGAGGGGTGAGACCCCTGTGACATCCCTTGATTGCAGAAACCTGCTCTTGCCTGGCTTCGTGCACCACTTGGGGTTTTCTGCTGGCCATGCTGCCTCCTCCTCTCTCCCCTTACCCCTTGAGTTTGCCACGTTTTTCTTCCTAGCTTTGTCCACAGCCAAGCCTTCACCTCATGCTGAAGGAAATGTTCTCACTTCCCACCTTAGTGTGAGTATGGTATTTTGTCAGAAATTGAGCCATTCCAGCGTGTGTGGCTGTAGGTGTTTGACTCATAACTTGTTATGGCCATTTTGGGTGTGCTGGGAGGATCTTTATTATAGGACTAATTAAGTATTTTGGGCTTCTTTCCTTAAAACTACCGTTTTGTAAAAAAAACTTCTTTCTCTTTCCTTGGTAGACATTCCTGAAAATTCCTTATATCTAACATTTCTATATACTTAGAAGGTTTTATGGGGTTGTTTCCAGCCAGGCTGAGCTGCTGTACCAGGGTTGACCAGTAGCAACATCTACATTTTCACATGAGAGTGAGACCAAGTACCACAGCAAAAAATTTCCCTTGTTTTGGTTCCTGCATTGGTGTGGAGGTCAGTGCTTGGTCCCTAGATGTGTGCCTCAAGAGGAAGAGTCAGAAGAGACCCAGGGGTCAGGTGTCAGGGTCCGAACTCCATGAGCGATTACGGCTCATGATCGCACAGTAATGGCTGTGTTGGATACTTGGATTGGAGAGGGTCTTCAATGGGATACAGTAACTGTGCTTTTAGTTATAGTCATAGGGTCTTGGAAGATGATGTGAGAAGATGAGACTGGAAGCCTCAGGACCAGCAGCTGGAGCAGAAAGTAGGTCTGGGAGCCTGTGTGTGTCTTTGGCACAGCAGCTGGAGTAAACACAGGCGTGTGAGCAGGTGTGACCAAGTGTGTGACTGCTGATGAAGATGCAGCTGAACAAGGGGATGAAGGGACCTGGAAGCTGGGGATGTCCATCTGTGTGTGTCTGTAAGCACAAAGATGAGAGCACAGGAGGATCTGGTGACCAGGGGGACCAGAGAAGTCCCAGCCAGCTGCTGGAGAGATGGTTGAGTCTAGGGGTTGACTGAGACCCTTGTGTGTGTGCACATGTGTGTGTGGGTGTCTGTAGATATGAGGCATCTGGGAATATTGGGATCTAGGTTCAGCTACTGAGTGCCTGAGCCCAACTACTGAAGGGGTTCACACTGCACCTATGTAAGTGCAGAGGTTTCCCACTAATTCAGCCTCTTCCCATAACTTCAGGTAATTGTGTCTCATTCTCCTTGGGCAGATACTGTTGGCTACAGCTTGGAAGATTTGAGGATAAAAGAGAGAAGGGAAGAAACAGAATGCGTCAAAGCACCTTTTGGGCATGGGAGAAATAAATTAATCAGCAAAGCTGTGTTGGGATGTTTCATTCTAATCACCTCTTTTGTGTTTCAGCCCTGGCCCAGTGTGTCCAACCTGGCCAAGGATTTCATCGATCGTCTGCTCACAGTGGACCCCAGTGACAGGATGACAGCCCTTCAGGCCCTGAAGCACCCGTGGGTGGTCAGCATGGCAGCCTCTTCCTCCATGAAGAACCTCCACCGTTCCATCTCACAAAACCTTCTCAAGAGGGCATCTTCCCGCTGCCAGAGCACCAAGTCTGCGCAGTCCACCCGCTCCAGCCGCTCCACCAAATCCAACAAGTCGCGGCGAGTTCGGGAGCGGGAGCTGCGCGAGCTCAACCTGCGCTACCAGCAGCAGTACACTGGCTGAGCACAGGGCTGGCACCTGCCAGGTGTCTTTCCAGGTGTCTGCTCTTTGGTGTAGGTGTGCAGCATCCTCTGCCGTGCACACACTCAGTGAGCAGCATCCAGGTTCCTCCCTCCCTCCCTCCAGGTGTTCCCCCCATCCATGAGGAGGTGTCCCTCAATGTGGAAGAAAGGGAACCTCGTGGTGGCCAACACACCCTGCGAGCTGTGCCACAGGGTCTTGTGCCAGAAACGGGGGAGCCCTTGTGGGCTCAGTGCACAGCTCAGAGCCTCAAGTAGTACATAAATTAAGGAGCCACATGGGGAGAAGAGCTCTTTCTGTAGCCCAGGAGCTTGGCTGTTCATAGTTATTTATTGATTCCAGAGCATTAAGTTTGTCTCACTTGTGTATGAAAAAAGAGAGAAATCACTTTATGTGTCTGTTCATGCACGTCCGTGTGTGCACATACACGTGTGGGGGGGTGTATGTAGTTAAAAACTATATATACACAAATTTTGAGCTGGTTTAGTCAGACTCTGTGGTGCCTTTACATCGAAGCTGGTGTGAGTCATACGCAGTTAGAAGTAGGATAGCTCTGACTCACCAGTGTGCTGCCCACCAGCTCCTCGCCAAAGAGATGCCAGACAGCAGTTTTCCATGATGGCTGGGAAGCTGTGAGGTTTCCCCCAAGGGCTGCCATCCGCCTGGTGACGTCAAGGGTTTACCCCTTGAATTATCCTCCCCCTGTTTGCAGCAGGACCAGTGTCTGCCATGCAGGGTTTGTTGTTCTTGCCATGACGTGGCTTTGTTTTGTCTGTGACCTCTTACATACCTTACACCCTTCAAAAGATTGAGAATATTGAGTTTTCTCTGCTAAGGAGGGAAAAAAGGGGGGGAATTTCTAAGGATATGCCTCCCACCCCAAAGCTGGGATGGGCTATAACCACTGTGAGCGTTACTGACCATGTCACTTCACCAGAACTTTGGTGGTTCCAGGCTGCTCCCTGTCTGCAGATTTGACAGGGCTCCCCTGCTTTGCATGTCTGTGCTGCTCCAGCACTGCCATCCCTGCTCTGGGACAGGGAAGTGGTGGTGGGAGCTGTTGGGATGGCCACAAATGGCTCCATGGCTTTAGGGCTTGAGAAGTGGCAGCCCAGTTCGGGAACGTCAGCAGTGACATACCCTGGAGACGTTGCACAAATGCCTTAGAGCTGTTAGCTGCTGACTGAAATTCAACAGGAAAAAGCTGCTTTTCAAGGTGTCCTTGTGCTGGCTGGGTGATGTGGGGTCTCCTCTTGTGAAGGATCTTTCAGGGGAGGTGGGGGCTGTGGAGCTGAGCTTTCTGCACGTCTGCTGACACATCTTCCCAACTAGTTAGAGCAGCAAAGTGGGGCCGATGGCACAGTCTCAGGGTGGATTTGGCTCCTTGTGATAGCAGAGACAAGATCTGCAGTGAAGCACATTCCTAGGGATGTGCTTCCCACCCCAAAGCTGGGATGGGCTGTAACCAGAGCGAGCTCAACCTGGTGTGCCCAAGCATGGGGTGGGAAGTAGAGCAGAGGAAACCTGAGAGCAGCCACTGTGTGTAGCAGAGGTGGATTCTAAATTGCTTCCATGGTTTTGCATGTCATTTTGAAAACTTTGCAGATTGCCCTTTCTCTGAGCAGCCATCCTGCCATGTCACACTGAGTCTTTCTTCCATCAGCACGAACAGATACTGCAGAATTACCCAAAATAGGGTTTTTTCAACTTTGTGGACTTAAAAAAAAAAAAAGAGGTTTCTTCAGCTGCTTCTTTTACCTCCTCACATTTTCTCTGATTAGTTACCATGAACTATAAACTAGACATGACTTCTGACAAAGCAGGCAGCTTGCCACGTTTTGCTTCATAAACAGTTCAGTGTCCCTCATGTTACTGCAAGCAGGAGCCCCTCCAAAACCAGTATCAACTGGGCAGTGGCTCTTGCCCTGCACATTAGGTGATGGCAGGATGCTCCCCCAGAGCACTTCTGGTTCTGAGCCATTACTTGTGAGAGTCCTCTGTGTGTTTGGAGCATCACAACCTGTGATCTCTTTTACCTCCTGGGTGCCCTCATGGCCCTCCCCAGATTATCCTGCATGTTTACTCTTAAAACAGATGTTTTGCCTATGTGAGGGGTCAAACTAATGAGCTGAGCCAAGATCTCTAGATCCTGAGACCTTTCCCATTAACCACTAGACCATCAAAATGCACAGGGGTCACACAGATGTCTGCCCACACTGTTCCTTCATCCTTCTCTTGTGGGATGAGGGATAAATAAATGTGGAGAGGAAGTCAGGACATTAAACTGACCAGGCTTGTTTCTCCACCTTCACAAAGCAGAACAAGAATCTTCTCATCTGTGTCAATTTTTGTTTTGTTGCTCTTTTCCAAAACTGTTTGTTCACCAGGAAGAGTTCAGAGCGATGTCATTTATGGTGAGTTTGGGGTGGAAGATGTTTTGGGAAGTGAGATGTTGCTGTGTAGGTTCCTGACAGTTTTTGGTGGTGATGCTGTGTGACTGGAGGTGAATTGGCAGAAGGAAGGATCCATCACATACATGAGCAATACTGGATAGCTGCAACCTGCCTGTCCATGGCACAGAGGTGTTTGTGGTCCTCAGGCATTCCAGTGCTTGGGAATTGCTGCAGGAGGACCAAGGCCATCCCATAAGGGGCTTTGGCTTTTCTATAAAAAGAACTCTTAATTCTCCTCACAAATGCAATGTTTTCTTGTTTGCATGGAAAAAACCAATGTAAACTTGGGGAAAATCTTGACAGGCCTTCCTTGCATCATGTAATTATAGCACTCTTGGCTCATTCCCTCTTCTTTTTCTAAATTCAGTATTTGCAGGAACTCTTGCACCCAGACAGTAACGTGTGTGAGCAGAGGGGAGACAAGGAGAGCTTCATCCAGGTGACCCTGGAGTCCTCAGTGATCTTTCTTTCAGTCTAGAAAACTGTGATGGTCCAAATGCCATGTTGGAAGGTCCAGCTTAAGAACAATTCCTTGGGTGCTTTTATCCTTGCACTTGTAGCATGTTTTCAGCTGTCTGGTGCATGGGAACAGACAAAATGCTGTAATTCTGAGCCATAGTCTAGGTGCCTTCAATCTGTCCTTTAAGAAACTCTTCACTGTGAATTACCTTGATCATCTGTCTTCATTCCAGAGGAGCATCTCAGTGGTCAGTTGGTTTTACGTCTCAGGAGTTTACACTTTTCAGGAGTGCCTTGTTCGGGGATTTTAGAAGCTAAAATCTCTTGAAATGGTTTTTTTTTCTGCTCTTCCGCTTAATTTTTTAATCTCTTTCCTTGGCTGTTAATGATGGTTCTTAATTGGGCTCGTGGGGTTTTTTTGGAAGCTTTGCTCTGATCTCGAATGCACCAAGAGAACACAGGTAACAACTGCATATTCCAGACCACCGCTGAGTGCAGCCTGTGTATTAGCTGGGATCCAAGCACGGTGTACTTTTGTCTTCCCTCCTTTGGTTGATGCCGTGAAAATGAAGTTGGAATGACACCTAGTGGCAAATTGTAGTGTGTCCTTGCCCAAGCACAGCTCTCTCCTAGCCGCGTTCCCACTGTTTCTCTAGGCGAGATGCTCTTACAACGAGCAATCTCGGGTTGATGTGCTGAGTGATGGTATTGGACCAGCCCTAAGTGTTCATCAACTTTCTCTTTTGGCACCTGATCCTGAGGATCAGCCTTTTAGCCTCCACAGGGGTGAGCATCAGTCCACGTGCAGCCTCTGGAGGGGATGCAGGACATGTGCAGCCAACCCCCCAGTGTCACAAGGATGTGCTTACCAGCACCCTGCCTTGGGGAGGCATCTTGGGAGGCACTGTGAGAAAGCAAAGCCTAAAGATGCTGAGGCTGGAATCAGTACAGAACCCTGGAATGATTTGGGTTGGAAAGGACCGTAAAGCTCATCTCGTTCCAACCCCTTTGCCATGGGCAGAGATACCTTCCACTAGACCAGCTTGCTCCAAGGCCCATCCAGCCTCACCTGGAACACTTCTAGGGTTGGGGCAACCACAGCTTCTCTGGGCAGTAAGTCTGGGGACTTCCTCCCATCTTGAGACATGATGGAGCAGCTCAGGGTGTTGCTTCCCAGAGCATTCTGATTCAGGGAAATGCAATTATAAGGAGTAAAGGGAATTAGGGGTGTTTGTCTTCGGAACTTTGCAGTACTGTGTAAAACAATCCTTCCGTCCTGGGAGTTTGGCTGCTCTCTGGGGGGAGAGAATTGCAATTTCAAAGAATGTGGCCTGTTGATTCCTTGATTTTTTTAATTTTTTTTGAGTGTTATTGGAAAATAATGTTAAAAGGTCTTCCAGAAATAGTGTTAGGGGTCTACAGATTCGCATCCAGATTTCTGAGTTTGGAATGTATTTTTCTATGCATTTTGCTAAAGCAGCAATTACTGGTCCATGTTTGGTTTACTTCTCACCCTTCTCAGGCTTCTAAAAAGCTAACATGTAAACCCAGCGGGGGTAGAGACCCACCTTCCTTCCATCCTGAAGCAGTCCATGCTATTTAACACTGAGACTGTGATAGCATCCAGATGCTCCTGGTCTGTGTTGTTCTTGGAAGTGCAGAGCCGTACGTGAAGGAAAGCTTCAGAGCCTTGTGAGGAGCTTAATCCCAGACAAAAGGGCTCAGACCTGCTGGCTGTGGTAGCAGTGTGGAAAACAGCTGCAGAGCAGGGCCTGTGTTATGTGTTTATTTTGGACATCATGAACCCTCAGACTCTTAACTTCTTTGGAATCTGGATATTTTCCTCTTTTAGGTCAGATATTTTCAGTTCTGGTAATTTACATTCTTTCTTAGACCCTGCTCCATTTCTTAATCCTGTTTCCTACCCGGGTGTTTGGCCAAAGCACAAATAGAGTCAACTTTGATGTAATGCACAAACTGGAATAGGAATGATGGTTCACTTGGCTACTAGGCAGCAGCTCTGGGTTTGGCTCTGCAGGAGCTGTTGCAAGTCCTGGAGCAAGATAAAAGCATCCGTATGGTCCTTGCAGGTGGGAGAAGGTGAGTCCCTTTGAGAACCTGCAGTGCAGGCTCAGCTCAAGATGATCTTGCACCACGTAGGGCAACTACTCTGGCTGTTACAGGCCTTGGTTAGGCTGTGTGGGGCCATATTTTATTTCAAGTGACAATGCTAAAGATTCGGAGGGTGTGAAGTGGGATAAACTAAAATCTGAATTGTTTGACTTAATTTAGTTTTCTAAATGATGCAAAGCAACGCAGAGGTGAGTTTTGGGAGGGGATCACACCCTCTGGAGCTGTTGCAAACTGTTCTCTGGCAGCAGTGGGATTTGCAGGGGGGTGGTTGTGTCCCAGCCTCTCACCCACTCAGCTTCCTCCAGGAAAATACCACGAAGTGCCTGTACCACTCAGTGCCACATACACAGCCCCAAGTTCACTCTCGGGAGGGTTTTGGTGCTTTTTTTTTTTTGTTTTGACCACTTAGTCTCCTCTTTCATCCTGGATTAAGAACCCAGCTCTTGGGTGCTCCAGAGGCAGGTGCCTGCATGTCAGCTGTGCCTTACTGTGCAGGAAACTTCCCAAAGAAATCAATGTGAAGCCGCAGGGATGCACGATGGCAATGGCATCATGGAGCTTGGTGTCTTCTGCCCTCCGTGTCCCAAGGGGCAGAGGGAGCTCTGCCTGGTGACAGTTACTCCTTCTCCTGTTGTCCTCCCCTGCCTGGTCGTACTGTAGATCCCTCGTGTGTGACGGGTGAGCTTCTCGCTGCTGTTGCAGATGCCATTGCACTGTTTGTCTGCTGAATCTGGAAGACATCCATGGAACAGACCCACAGCCCCAACAAGGTGTGTTACAAACCAGCAGCTCCTGCTCAGATGCTGTGAGTTTTCCTGTTGCCTTTCACTGCGGAAAGACACCTCCCGGGAAGCTCTTGGGACCAGAGATCTTCCGGCACTTGATGTTATTTTTGGTTGCCCAGTTTCCGGTGCTGGGTAGGAACAGTTTGGAAGTAACTCCGGTCGCATCCCGTCCGTCTCCTCACGGGGCTGCTTTGAGAAGTGTCCCATTCTGTGCCTTGCCTGTTGAGTCCTGGCTTTACCCTATGGACTGTCGTGTCGGATGAGGTCGGAACCATTGTAATTAGTCTGTAACATTATGATTAGAGTGTACAGAATTATTTATTTGGTGTACTCAGTCTGCTAAATATGTCCATGTATTCTGTGTACCCGTTGCTCTGCTGTCGTTACTTTGCCTCATGGATCACCCACTGGCTGCCTGCTGGAAGGTGCCAATTTCTGGACTGGTCAGTGAATGCATGGAAAGCCAGGAGCTGGTCACCCCTCTAGCACATTCTTGGATCACAGCAAGAAAGTTTCAAAGTGCCCATAGAAGAGTTTGCTGGTTTCTGTAATGCAGCTGCCAGGCCAGGAGCTGCCTAAGGGAGACCTTGTGCAGGGCTGGGATGTCCATGGAATGCTCTGGGTGAGGCAGTCACTCAGCCTCTTGCTGGAAGGCTTGGGAGGCTGAAACAGGCACTTTAGGACATTTTGTTCACTTTTCTTTGGCTGCAAGGTGGCAAACTGGGACAGAAATGCTCTGGTTTGCCCACAGCCACTTGCCACCTCTCCAGTTTCACTCTGAGCAGCTTTTATGGACCAACAGGAAAATCTGTAATATAAAGTCATCCCTCTTGAGCCACCTCCTCCTGGAAACAAGGTGATTTTTCAGAGGCAGGGGACCCCATCGCAGCAGTGACAGAGGCTGACACAGACCTGAGCACACAGAGCAGATTACCCATAGTGCTGCACTTGGTCAGTTCCTGTTGAAGCTCCCTGTAGCCACCAGTTTCCTCTGCCCACATGGCTCATCTCCACATCTCTGATGTTCACCTGGCTTTAAGGTCAGTTAGGAGCTCCCTGCAGAGCAGACCAGTAATGGAAGGTAAATTTAATCCAATCAAACTCAAATTTACCAGCCTTGGGCTTTATGAGCTGCTGGTTTAAAAAAAAAAAACCTAAATCATGGGACTATTTGTCTTCGCCTTCCACTGACGATCCATTCCCCTTCCCTTGGGTATGTCCCTGTGTTTAGTGTCATACTCTCTCTGCAGCTGTTTGATAGAGTGATTTTTTGAGGCTGTGATACACACAGCAAAGGTTTTGTTTTGCATTCACATCACTGGTAAGGAAAAATAAACCCCATTCCTCATGCTGGGACAGTCTGTTCCTGCTCCTCTCCATGGTGTCTCATCACCAGCTCTATTTTGAGCTGCCAGGAACTGGGTGGTAATTCATTCAACATGTGCCTGGTTATTCCTGTGTCACACATGACTTTTTTTTTTGCACCAGCCATTGTCTCAAGAACCCACTTGGGTAAAAACCTTCACCTGGTCTTGAATTTCGTTTTCAGCTTCAAATTTGCTGTTGGAATGGCCTTCAGTTTCCCACTCCACCTGGCAGATCTGCAGGTATGAAGCAGAGTGCTATTCTCCAGCCACCCTCTTCCACCTTCCCCAAGAGCTGGAGCTGCCCTTGGCACTTCTCCCTTTCAGCTCTGTGTTCCTAGGCTGCTACACAGGTCATGGCATGGAAGTTTAATTCCTGTGCACCCACCAGCACCCACCCTCCACTGCAAGCTGAGCAATGCCTTCTGGTGCTGAGCCTGGTGAGCCGCAGCTCCACAGTCCCTTCCCTAGTGGGACCTCACACCTGGGTAAGTGGAATGACCATTCTCCCACCCTCAGTGCTGTGGTGGTCTCTGAGCTGGTGCCAGGGTGTAGACACCTGTGCTTGAAAGCCCCTTGAGCAGCCCTTGCCCTGCTCCCCCTGTGTCTGAGCACTGTGGCTTCACATCTCCTTCTGGGTCCCAGCTGGGCACCAAGCTCCAGCTCTGGGAAGTGCTGGTTCAGGAGAGGAGCACGAGGTGCTCCAGCCTCCCACCGTGTGCCCTTCACCCTAGTTTGTGTCATAAAAGGAAAGGAGCCAGAGGCAGCTCTTGGCGCAAGGTACTTTATTTATCCCAGTGCAGGGATCAGGCTGACAGCAGCTTTAGCCCTGAGAGACGATGGTGTCGATCCAGTTGCGGAACTGGCTGACACGAGTGTACATGGCTGGAGTGCGGGTGTCGCAGTTGGAGGTTCCCCAGGAGACAATGCCAATCAGGGTCCAGCCATTCCCAGTCTGGTACACCAGAGGTCCACCAGAGTCACCCTGTGGAGAAGAGTCCTGCTTAGTGCTCCTGGCATGTACACCAAACTGGTCCCAGCTACCCCAGCCACCTGGTCCCCTGGGCACAGCCAGGTGCTGTATCTAAATCTCTGGCTCCATAGATAGAAGACCCCATGTATCCTCCTCCTCCCACCCTGTGGTGCAGTGGGAGCTCAGCAAGACCCTATGTATCCTCCTCTTCCTCCACCCACCCTGCAGTGCAGCAGGAACTTGGCTCCTTACCTGGCAGGAGGTGGCTCCGACTCCACCGGCGCAGAGCATGGAGCTGGTGATGCGGTTGCCCCAGTACTGCATGCACTGGCTTGTGGAGATCAGGGGCACAGTTACCTGCTGCAGGACGGTTGCCAAGGCTTGGGCTAGGGGAAAGAAGCACCATTACATCATCTCGGTGTCAGTGGGTCTCCTGGAGAGCACACAGGTGCCCTGGGCAAGCTCCCGCTGGTGCTTCCAAACACATAGGTACTGCCATGCAAAGCACCTTCCTCCTCCATGCCAACATACCCCTTCTTCCCCAGGTTGGATTGCCTCATGCATGCAGCCCCAAGAAAGGACAGGTTTGTGCCCATGCACAGTCATCCCTGTGCACCTAGCACACATCCTGCTCCTGAGCATACACCTACACCCATGCGTGCACTGACACACTTGTACACGCTCAGACAGAGTTACTCCACTGCCTAGCTCCCTCCTCCCCATACACACAGGAGGTGTCACCCCCCCCAGGCACCCCCGGACCCTCAGAGTCCCCAGGAAGAACAACAGCCACATGCAGCCCTCCCTGAAGCTATGGCATACGTACAGTTGGGGTTGGTGCGTCCCCAGCCAGTGGTGACAGCCCTAGCATTGTTGGGCAGAACCATGTTGGCAGGGGCCAGGCAGATGGGGGCCACGGTGGATCCCAGTTGGGCAGGTGAGGACAGCCTCAGCAGAGTGATGTCGTTGTTCATGGTGTTGGGGTTCCAGCCGGGGTTAGTGATGGCCTGCAGAGAAACACCACAGTGCTTCATCCCTGCCCTGCCAGAGCAGCCACAGTGCAGATCTGCAGCCTCATCCCAAGACCACATCAGCCTGACTCACCCTGGCCACAGTCCTCACTTGAATGGCCTCCGAGTTGTACCTGAGGTTATATTCCCCGAGGACGACGACGTGGGCACTTGGGCTGTGAGAGGTAGGAGAAGTAAGAGAGAGTCAGGGGGG